GAGAGAGAGAGAGAGAGAGAGAGAGAGAGAGAGGAAAGCGTCAATTGATTTGCCAGTTGCCGGGATCCACCGTTCGACTCAGTTACTGGTAGCTGGCATGAGCATGACTTCGGACTCTCTCTCTCTCTTGTTGTTGTGCTTACTCGTGTACCTCGAAAGGGGTGAGGGAAGTGACGAGAGCAAGCATCAAGGGCCCGCTCAATAGAATCGTTGCCTACCCTCCTGTACCTTTGTGGTGTGTCCGGCATGATTGTACTGCTGCGATGAGCAGGGGAGGCATGACGAGGCGATCCAGTTGTACGCCCGTTCGCATGAGATCCATGAGAACCTTTTAGGCCACGACCATCCAGAGGTGGCCACGTCGTTCCACACCCGGGCGAGGTTGCTAGGTAACGCAAAGGTGAAAGAGATGCCCTTTTGTCGGACTACTCGGCACATCTGCTTCGATCATAGTTTATGATATTTCGAGGCACTGGTGACGGGTGCAGCACATCCACCCGTTTATGGAGCAGTCCGACGCACCTGAATGTAAGTTTTCTCGGTATGCCGAGTCCGAGGTATTTTCTGCCGAACGATGTTCAGAAGTGACAACTCGTGTGCAACGCAGAAGCGATCACTCGTGTCCACCAAAAAGACATGCCAACTACACAGTCTCTTCCCAACCCCCAGCCCCGTGCAAAATTGGCCTTTCGCGTATCAGATGAACCTTTGAAGGCTTCTACCGTCGAAGCCAACACGATCGATAATCCTTTTCCCACGAAAACAGATGTATGATGCGGCTGCGCCGCTCTTTGAGTCAGCCTTGGACATCCGGACGAGGATTCTGGGAGCTGATCACAAGGACACGGTGGAGTCTCGAGCAGGACTCGAAACATGTCGACAAAAGCAGGCACGTCAACTGCACTAACCCATATACAGAGAGAGGGGAACACACGGTCTCGGCGCCAAGCTTTCTTTCGAACTTCCGGCGACCGCAGAAAGCAACGTTGGCGTCTCGCGACTTCGCATTCCGAAAATGTGACACCATTGTGTCTTACCCTGCGATGCTTCGCGTTCTTCGTATGTTCTAACGTAGGTCAGGCTCGGAGTAAGCGGGGGGATCCGTTGGATGCATCTACCAGGTGCACCTGCATCAACTTCCATTGTCCCCTTGCCTTCATTCCCTACACTTTCCAACCTCTATCCCGACTCTTGCCCGCCCATGGTCGCTCTTTGCATGTGTTGTGGAACGCAACGGTCTTCCTGCGCGTGCTCGTCTTGCGGACGGCAACAAATCAACCACGGAAAATGACAACCAATAAAACAAACACAGGGCTAATCCCCCTCCCCGGGCTTCGTGTGACTCTGTGGAGAGGGGATCGCCGGCACGACGTGAACGTGTGAGCCGCATGGCGGACAATCTGCCCAAGATCGCAAAAGTCTTGACGAGTATCTGGGAAGTCGGACGCACCAGTAGACAACGACGACGATGACAACCGAAATGAGAGGTACATGCCCCACACGTATATGCTACGGTGGGGTTGCGGTCTCGTAGGTAGAGTGAGTCGGCACTCGTGGGGGTGGGGGAGAGGGAAGGCAAACTTGTCACCACCGAATCAACCAGGGTACCATTTCGCCCAGGGTACCCTACAGCAGCCTGTACCCTCTTGCGAACTCCCAGGTGGCAATCGATGACTCGGAAACTCCTACAACACCATTCGAATGCACAGGATTAAAGCTTGAAAAGGCTAGACAGGCAAAAAAACGAACAGGTTGCTCCGAGATGTTAGCACCAGGTGAATTGATGGCTTACGCGAGTAGAGAGCAACGCGGCAATTAAAGGTGGTAATATTGTGCTTCTCAGTATAAGCATCTCCACTCCACGAGTAATAAGAATGGCACCTTGTGTTCCACAGTACTTTCTTTTTATCCCAGCAGTGGGGCCGGAGCCTTCTACGCGCCCTTGCTCCATTCCCCGCAATTCATATGGCTTACCGAAGTTGTACCACGGCGCTCCGTGCTGCCCCCTTCGTACTACATCATGGCGGTTGGCTGCGTAATTACTGCACTCCTGTCCCCACATTTTCCTCGATGGAGCTGTGCAACAGTGCATCTATGCTCCCGACGGACTTGCAACGCCTAGTCAGCAGCCCCCCTTCTCAAAATTCGAGTGACGAGGTGAGCTTTCAACTCAGGCCAAGAGGTACGTCGCAAAACCCCCAATCAAAACGACAAAATGATTACGATGACTTGCACGACTGCACACACGCGCCGACTAGCACCAAAAAAATCTACCTCGGGGTGACATACTGCTGCATATTTCAATACTCCGGCATCTACCTCGATGGGGAACTGTTCGAATGTGAGTCCAACCACCTTTGAACGTTTTCATTTCGAACCCATACAGTCCCCCCCCTCCCGTCCGGTACACGCTTCATTTGGTCTCTGAAGTCTACGTAACCATCACCATCCCTGGCGTTCTTGAGCCTGCCAACTTGCTCCTTGTTCATGAGTTTCTTCAACGCTCCATATGAGTCCCTCAGATCCTTGCGCATGTCGGCATCGGCATCCTCCCCACCCGATACAACACGAAGTAGCGTCTCCTCAAGAGTACGGTCGACCAGCTCATCGACCAACCCGTCCAAGGAAATCCGACGTGTTCAAGTCCAGTCCTGCCGTTGCTTTGAGCGCCACCTTGGCAGTCACCACGGTCAACTTGGGAGAAAGCAAGCCGAAGAACGGACGACACAGAAATCCATCACAGTTGATCATACTCCCGTTTCAAGCAGTTACAACCCGTTGCTTACATCCAAGGACTATAAACAACACGATTTTCGAAGGTATTGCTAGGGACAGTTTCTACTTTGGAGTGCGCCCTCGGCGAAGAACGGAGGGAATCGGAAGTAGACTATACGGCGACTCCGACCGGCTACTTCTGACATGCTTATCTTACCTGTAGCAAAGGCGATATTTTCTTGACCCAGCCACGCGTCTCCCGAAACCGATAGCCTTCGCCACCGTAGCCGCACGGCACCTTGGTCATGTCGACCGGGCACAAGGAGTGCAGCACCATCTCCTTCTCCCCTACACCGAGCTTGCTCAGCACCCTCTTCATGCCATGAGCACCCGACGGCTTGCTACCAGATGCAACTTGCTCCACTACCACCACAAGGCGAGGGTACACAACGCGAGGGCACACAAGGCTTACCTGGATGTACTCGAACGCGTTGTCCAACCTGTCCATCATTCTCTCCACCAAACCGATCTTTGTTCGAATCAGCAACTCCCCATCGACCCTCGCCTACCGCGTACACAATTTTGCATCAGGGATACCACACGCAATGCCAGCAGCTGTATGTCTGATTCTTGTACATTTTTACCCCCCAGCAACAACCGGTGCGACAACCATCGCTCGCAAAAAGGGTAGCGAAATCACGAGCCGGGTTGGACGAGGGTGGCTGTACTGTAGATTGGGCTGAATCAGCACATGCCTCAATAGCATCGAAATGAAAAAAGAACGCTTCCAAATGCCATCACAATGCTTTTGGTTTCAGTGCTGGCAAACTACCTTAAGCTTGAGTACGGAGGGAAGGAGAAAAGCAAGTATGACATTGTGACTCCAGTCCTTCCTGTTCCTTGTACTCTTTCAGCTTGCTCTGAGTAAGGCTGCTTGGCCACAAGTCGTAGAAACAACAGCACCCGTCTTGAGCGGACTTTGTGTGGGTTGCATGATGGGTGGGTGCACTTGCTTGAGAGCATTTTGGCGTTTGTCGAGTGAAATCTAGTCGTTTAGTAAGGAGCCCTGGCGGGCAACACCCTATGAATCGCCCAATGACATGAGCAGACCGAAGGTTAGTCCCCCCCACCCATGATATGGACAGAAGTCCTTTAAGGCCCAGCATCGCGGAAGTCCACCAGAAATTGATGACGATGGGCCCCTGCGGTCAACGTACTGTCGCCAACCTCTTTCGACGTTTCCGATTTCGCAAAACGCAATAGTCTAGTCTAGCTGCATTGTATTCTCACCGCCAGCGAAGGAGTACTGACCCTCCAGGTCGACGAATCTTGCCTTGATCTCTCGGAAAATGACGCCTGTGGCGAAAAAATGAGCGGCGAAAATCGGGGAGCGCCCACCAACATCTCTATAATACGCGCCGCATGATTCTCGTATTGCAGTAGCCTCCAAAATCGACCGTGATATGTGACGACCGTACTAATAGCCGATCAAATTGGACATGTGGGTCACGGCCTTGTGCTTCCCCCTTTTTCTTGTGTCAGTGCTGCTGTCGTATCCTGATTGTATCATATGCATACAGCAGGTATTCGCCTGTCGCAGTAATGCTAGTTCGGAGTGGGAAATTGTCTGTCCTCGCGTCGGGTGGAACATACCTCGCTGCACGAGCGCCCTTTTCCTTTCGCTGTTCATGTGTTGTTTTATGACGCAACACGAAATCGTAAATCTTGGCTTGTCGGTTGACCTGAATTGCGGCAAACCACGTCTGCTTTCTCTCCGTACGATCCATTTACACAAAATATTGCCGCGTCCCACGAATGTTGAGTGCTACGTACTCATTGTGTCGTTGGCATTGGTCAATGGAGCTTGGCGGCAAACGCCGCCATTCAACCTATTACCGATCCATCTCCCTCTGCGATACCTTGGAACCGATTGATCTACTGGGCGTGGGGCGGCGAAAGCCACAAGATTCCTCGAAATGTGGGATACGCAGGGTTCATCGATCGACCACGCGCACGACTGATGCCTCACTCAGCAGGGGGAACAACATCAAGTCCTTCACTGTGCCCCCCCACGAGTGTTGCATACCTCGGTCCAGTCGGATATCTACCATGCGCACGAGATCATTGGCCACGGCCCCAAGCCCACCGAACAAGGAGCTGCAGCGTGGGCATCTTTCCACAATTTTATCTCCCGGGTGAGCCGCCTGGCGAGTGGGAAGGCACAGAAGTGGCGTTAACGTGTTTGCGTTGAGCATCGGCGAATCGAGCGGTCATGAGTTCATGTCTGGAGCAATCGCTCTTGTTGAACACGACACACAGGAGCGGGGACGGCTGCCGCGAAAACACAAAAAAAAACAAGTCCCTCGAACGCCATCGCCCTAGCGGCCGACACGTACACGGGAACGCGACAACAAAACAACAAATCAACAATCGGATTCTGCAGCCACATACCTCGCCTTCTGCCACCACATGTGCCAACATTCCAACCCAACTCAAATGGAAAAATTACCACCAGCATTCTCTTGGCCCACGGAACCGAACACGTGCGAGTTGTTCTGCGCTGCTATTGACCAATGTTCCCAAAACAATTCACATACATACCCTGAGTCCAGCACGCCTCATAGCAGGGACATGAAACAACGCGAACACAGCACGGTTGCACGTGAAAATCAGATTGCGCCATTAACCATACGCCCCACGCGGTTAGAAGTACACTAAGAGTGTCGCTAAGAGTGTGAGATCTCACCGTGTTGGTCAAGAGCATGCCGTATAGCCATGCTGAGGACACTTCAGAGAGCCTCTCGAGCGCAGTCCTGGGAAATCCATGAGCATCAACCTCACGGCCGAGGCGGCGTAAGAAAGGACCGTCCACGGAGCTTGAGTGCTGATATCGCCGAAAACCTGAGCAGTCAGCTCGTTGTCGGAGGACGAGTATTCCAAGACCACGGCAAAAATGTCGGACCCATCTTCGTCGCCATCTTCGTCGCGAAGAGCGCTATGCACAAGCACCCCAGACCGCCAGAATACTGTCACGCCGCCGAGGCTGCAGCACCGTGTCAACACTTTTTCAATCGCACCAGGCGGAACCCCGAGGAACATTTTCCAACTCGCATTCAAGGCCGGGGTTTGATCCAAGTAGAATGTGTCCATCACTTTGCCCACACGCTCGGGGCGGCCTGGTGTTAGCCGTAGCAGAACTACAAGCCCCCCGGCAGGATCGGCTTCGAGTGGGAACGCCAGACCCAGGGTCGTGAGAGTGGGGAGAACGTACTCGGACAGACCATTAGACCACATCGTACGCGCTAACCGGGGTTCGAGCACTCCCTCCCTCTTGAGCCTGAACCACGAAATGATGTCCAATGGGTCCTCGAGGGTGAGACACATGTCGCCTGTGCCCCCTAGCTTCACAAGGCCCTCGAAGGTCTCTTCATCCTTGTGATTGAGCAAGGGTTTGAGGATTTTGGCCAGCCAAACCACGTCCAGAAAGACAAAGGTCTCGTGGCGAACGACAGATCCGTCGAACTCCCTGCACGCACAAGTTTTACACGTGAACCAGATCCGCCGCCCAGGAGGAACTAATGAATCATGTGAGCTCTTGAGGGAAAAGGGCGTGGTTACGCCTTGGCGACACGGGAGAAAAGCCATGTTTGAGCTCAAACTCTGCTTATCTGCAACCGTTAACAATAAACCACAACGAACGGAACCACCTTTACCTTAGATCCTGACAAACGACAGGCCTTCATCACTATGGCGAATAAGGAACACGCCGACGTTAACAAGTTCAGCAACCTAGCCATAACCCTTGTACGGCGACCCAGCCAACTGTCAACGGTCAACATTGGGGTTATAGAGTTGAGGGCCGGGATTGTAAAAAATGGGGGAGGTGTACTCAAAGTCGTGCATGCCGTACTCGTTAGACCATTGACCTCGCATCCCTACAAAGCCGTGACGGAGCACGCCGGGTTCTCACCGGACTAGGCTCTCACATCACCAAGCGCGAAGTGCCGTATGGTATTCGACGAGTCGCATGAAGGGTGCGCTGCATCTTGCTAAGGGG